ATGGTCTGTAACCAAAAGCAATTAATCAGGGACTGAAGGGAGCTCATGCTCAAGATATACAAAGTGTCTTAGCGCTGCAAAAAGTGACTTCATCTCTTCAATCATAAATAAAAATGTCTGGTGCAGTCACCTGAAGCAGCAGCCACCTGGAAAGTGACAGATGTGTAAGGAATTGAACCAAATGGCATATATAAAATTCTGTGATGCAAACTCTCATCAGTTCATCACAGACTCCTGGTTATTGCTCTGAAATTGACCTGCTCATAACTTCAGTACTTTAAAGTCTTCTCCCTCCATGCCCCATTTTCTCCCATTGCAGAAATTCCTTTCAGGGCACAGCTTTTTGCAAGCAATGCTTGTAAAGTGCAGAAAGGCAGTTCTGCTCTGGTTTGTGTTTCATGAGCAATGAGCAATGCTAGGGTGAGAAAGTGTTGTAGGAGAGAGATCTTTATGCATTATGTTGAGGGTCTACAGCAGGGGTCTCAAACATGTGGCCCGTGGAGCTATTTGCTGCGGCCCGCCAAGCTCCCCGCCCTCCAGTTACTTCCTGTGGCCACCAAGCTCCCCTCCCCTGCCGTCCTCCTCCCCCTCAGCACATCACATCCCTGCTCCTCTGCCTACCTCCAGGCGCTTAGCGCCTTCCAGGAGGGAGGGAGGAGGAGCAGGGAGCTGCGCGCTCGGGGAGGAGGCGGAGAAGAGGCGGGGATTTGGAGAAGGGGTTTGAATAGGGGCAGGGAGGGGGTGGAGTTGGAGTTGGGGTGGGGACTTTGGGGAAGGGGTTGGAATGGGGGCGGGGAAGGGGTGGGAAGAGGCAGGACAGGGGTGGGGCCTCATGGAAGGGATGGAGTGGGGGTGGGGCCGGGGCAGAGGGGCGGGGCTTTTGTATCTTTATATGAAAAAGTGTCAGTGATGCGGCCCTCAGGCCAATGTACTAGTCCTCATGTGGCCCTCGTGGTGATTTGAGCTTGAGACCCCTGGTCTACAGTTTGAGGGAGCTGCTTGGCTTCCGATTACATTCCTAAACACCCTGGTGTCTTACTGAATTAGGCCCCTCCTGAAACCTGACCCTCTTTCACCAATTCCACTCACCATGCTACTATTTGCAGTTACACGAAGATTACTTAAAGTAACATGTTTGAAAGCTTACTGTGATGACTATGATTAGAGAGCTCCTTGATTCTTTGCCCCTGCCCTGGCGCCAGCATGGGGCAGAACAGCTTGGGGGTGAATCTAACTTGCACCAGCTGGTGTGCCGAGGTGCCTGTTGTAATTAGTGAAATAAAAATGTCATCAGTTTAATCCCCCTTCACCTTGTTCTGACACGAAATAGGTCATATTACACTTCGTTCTTTCTTGGGTGATTAGCGTCTACTGTATCACACTTCGCACTCTGTCTCAGGCTTACGTAAGATTCCTGGTAATGTATGAAAGTACAACTTTAATCTGGTTTAGAACTGGTTTTTGATTAGCTGGCACTCACACACCTAAGAAGGTACTACAAGGTGGGTAGAAAGCTGGCTAGATTGTCGGGCTCAACGGGTAGTGATCAATGGCTCCATGTCTAGTTGGCAGCCGGTATCAAGTGGAGTGCCCCAAGGGTCGGTCCTGGGGCCGGTTTTGTTCAATATCTTCATAAATGATCTGGAGGATGGTGTGGATTGCACTCTCAGCAAATTTGCGGATGATACTAAACTGGGAGGAGTGGTAGATACGCTGGAGGGGAGGGATAGGATACAGAAGGACCTAGACAAATTGGAGGATTGGGCCAAAAGAAATCTGATGAGGTTCAATAAGGATAAGTGCAGGGTCCTGCACTTAGGACGGAAGAACCCAATGCACAGCTACAGACTAGGGACCGAATGGCTAGGCAGCAGTTCTGCGGAAAAGGACCTAGGGGTGACAGTGGACGAGAAGCTGGATATGAGTCAGCAGTGTGCCCTTGTTGCCAAGAAGGCCAATGGCATTTTGGGATGTATAAGTAGGGGCATAGCGAGCAGATCGAGGGACGTGATCGTTCCCCTCTATTCAACATTGGTGAGGCCTCATCTGGAGTACTGTGTCCAGTTTTGGGCCCCACACTTCAAGAAGGATGTGGATAAATTGGAGAGAGTCCAGCGAAGGGTAACAAAAATGATTAGGGGTCTGGAACACATGAGTTATGAGGAGAGGCTGAGGGAGCTGGGATTGTTTAGCCTGCAGAAGAGAAGAATGAGGGGGGATTTGATAGCTGTTTTCAACTACCTGAAAGGGGGTTCCAAAGAGGATGGCTCTAGACTGTTCTCAATGGTATCAGATGACAGAACGAGGAGTAATGGTCTCAAGCTGCAGTGGGGGAGGTTTAGATTGGATATTAGGAAAAACTTTTTCACTATGAGGGTGGTGAAACACTGGAATGCGTTACCTAGGGAGGTGGTAGAATCTCCTTCCTTAGAGGTTTTTAAGGTCAGGCTTGACAAAGCCCTGGCTGGGATGATTTAACTGGGAATTGGTCCTGCTTTGAGCAGGGGGTTGGACTAGATGACCTTCTGGGGTCCCTTCCAACCCTTATATTCTATGATTCTATGATTCTATGTATCCTTTCCAGGACATAAATTGTCCGAAGCATTTAAGAGCACTGATCTAGCACTTCAAATACTGCTCTTGAATTTCCACTGCTTTGGACCACCATCTTTTTTTTTCCTTTTAAATTGTTTTGAGAGATTTCCAAGCCCAAGAGAGCCTTCAATGAGAAAAGTGATCATCTCTGGCCGGAGCCTATGGATTTCATAGCACAATCCTTCCTCAGGAGATGGATTTTGTTTTTAGTGTGCTTTTAGGAATATTATGGATGTGCTGACAATGTTGCAAACCGTATTACCTGCTTTATATCCCACAGAAGCCTTCCACATCAATTTCCAGAGTTTTGTTACTAGATTACTGCCCTTTATAGAGTTGTTGCTATGGTGCTGCATTTATTTAAGCCGGTGTTTCTCAAATCATTAATTACTTATGTTAGGTATTTATATGGTGTTCCCCGCATTAACAGAGTATCTGACTGAGCATGTCAAAGTCTTTAATGTACCTACCTTCACAATGCTGCTGCAAGGTAAGGAAGTAACTGAGGCACTGATAGGCTTAATGCCTGGGCCCAGGTTACACAAGAAGATTGTGGTGGAGCAAGGACTGGAATTTAGGTCTTCTAAATCCTAGGTGAGTGCCTTAACCCCTGGACTACCCTTCCACTCCTTACAGCAGTGCCAAGCAGCTCCAATGTGGTAGGTGCTGTATGCACATAAAGTAAAAGACAGTCCATGCCACCAAGATTTTACAATCTCAATGAACAAAGGAAGGGTTATTATTCCCATTTTACAGGTGGAGACCCGAGGAGGTGCACAGAGACTGAGTTGTCCATGGTCACACAGCAGTATGTGGCAGAGGTGGGAACTGAAGCCAGATTTCCTGAGTCCCATGCCAGAGCTTTAATCACAACATCATTCTTCCTCACACTGTTTGTTGAGACCTCTCCAAAGCGGGTCTCCAGGCAGGTGAGGGATTTTCCATTGTAAACATTAAAAAATGAGAATTTTCTAGTGATCCCCTTGGGAAAGTCAACATTACCTACAGTTAGTAGATAGGACTATCTGAGATACCGCAGATATTTCCTGCTTCGCTCACACAGAAGTAACATGGTATCTGATGGTACATGCTGAGCACAGTATCGCTTCTGTTATGGAAGATGAGCATGTGCTACAATCATGTAGTCTAAGAGGGAGCATGCATGCTGCTTGCCAGCCTGATTGTTGAATCAGTTAGGGGATATAAGCAGCAGGTGAACACGTTAGCACTGCAGTTCTTACCCTTCACCCCAAGGTAATGAAAGGATCCTTGCTACTCCACTCATCCACTTGCTTTCCAGTGTGTCTGCCCCCCTCGTTTTAACTTTTTTGAATGCTTTTTAACTCGGGTCTCCCACACTTCAGGAGAGTGCAGTATCCCCTGTCCTATAGCATAGCCTAGTGTAGGCCTTTCTCACTCACTCCTATGGAGGCTGTTACACTTTGCATACATAATTATACAGTCTCTGGGCCAGAGAGAGGGAGTGACCTTATAGCCAAGCGGGTAGGACACTCTCCTGCAGTGAGAGAAACCCAAGCTCAAATTCCTGCTCCAATTATTATTGAATTATATGTCAGGCAGAGGGGAGTCCTGAACGCAGGTCTCCCATATACTGGGATAAAACTTATACGTAGGTTTAGCAGAAGTCAATTTTTATAACTTTGATGGATAATATCGATGGTTATTTTTAAGCCTTTTAAAGATTTTTTTTATTGATTTAAATTTTTCACATTTGTGCAAAAATTATGGGTTTTAAGCTTGTTTTTAATTTTTATCAATTTAACTTTCACAGTTGTGGGAAATTATGGGGTGTGTCACACAATACTTCTTTAATGTCAGCAGACACTGAGATTCAACAAGAAAGCTTTATGACTGTTCAAACACAACTTCACATGTCACAACATACAAAAAGAAATCTCTTCAAACCAAAACTCTAATGAGTTCTCAAGCAGCATATTTCTTGCTTTGCCTATTGGAAATTTTAATTCCAGATGGAAATATTTTTACATCAGTTTGTGGGCGTATGGTGAAATCAATGTTTACCGACAAAAATCTAACCCTTCCAAGCCTGCTTATAAGGAAGACACTAACTTCTTCTCCAATCCCCTCCCCACTCTGTAAATCTAGCCTCTTATAAACTCCCAGAAATAAAATGTTTTGTGTCGAATGAAATGTTTGTTCGACCTGATTCCCCTACATTTTTTTCCAGAATCTTCAAATTCAGTTAAATCTGAGCCAAAATATTAATTATTTTTTTCCATTTTTGGGAACTGTCAGGGAACTGAAACATCAGTTATTCACCCAACTCTATTTGCATCAATGATATCAACTATTAGTTTAAAGAACACATCAGGCTGGTGTGAGCTGGCATAAAGGACACAGGACACAAAAGCAAAGGAACTTACAGCTTTCAGGATCCCTACTGCATCCTGCTGAAGCCAGGTTGGGTAAACAACTTCATCATTCAGAATGGCTTCAAAGAGGTCATCTTCATTCTCTGCTTCAAAAGGGGCATGGCCACATAGCATCTCGTACAGCAGCACCCCCATAGCCCACCAGTCTACATCAGGACCATAGAGCATCTCCTGCAGAATCTACAATGGGGATGAGGAAGGGGATAAATACTACTCACTGGGCTTAACCATTGTTTTTCTAAGTGGGGGAGAAAATGGATTATGGAATATTAATGTGAACAAAACACATCACCGCATATTAACTAAGAGTATTCTCTTCTGTGCTTGCCATTCCTCCTTTCTCAGAGCCCCTCTGTGATGTACATGTCCAGCTGGCAACCCGTTGATTTACATCTCCAATAAACAAGGGGTCTGCTAGCTGTACTCACTTACCAGACATGCTTCGGAACAGACTCTTTAAAATAATGTGCTGAGCAGGAGCTGAAAAGTTTTTCAATCAAATTGTTCTAGAGAGGTGGATCAGCTGGGTCTGTGGCTTGAGCCTCTTCACTCCCCTTTGCCTCCCAGAAGGAAAGGCTTACATGGCTCCAAAAACACATTTCCAGCTCAAGGAGGGAAGGGGTGTGAGAGCAAAAGAAGGCATGAGTGTGAGGAGTGGGGCAGAGGAAGCATGACCACAGAGCATAAATCCAGCAGCGTAATGGAAGCACCTACAGGATCTGGCAGGATCTGGAGGGAAGGTGCTTCTTAAAGCTGTGTTTATTCATTTTAAAATTAGACAGATGAATGACGGGGGGTGGGAGGGGGGGACAGACAGAGGCAGAGAAGGGAATTGGGGAATGAGGGAGACAGCAGCTTGCTTTCAGCCACACTGGGATGGTACCTGTGCCATTTGCTGTAACCAGCATTTTGGCAGCTACAGTCTGGCATCTATGTTTTTCAAGATGCATTTTCTTTTCCCCCAGGGGAGCTGATGCCCCTGTATCAGCCCATAACAATCTGAAGATTTGTTTAGTCTTCACTAGCCCATGGGGCTGTAAATCTCAGTGCGTTTCTGAGACCAAACTTTCCACCTGTCAGCCCCATAAGATGCAGCCAAATTAAGTGGAGATCTCATTCGTTGCTTTTAAACCAGACCTACTAACAGCTCAATGGATTTTCCAATGAAGAAGGGTTTCCTGTACCTCTGGAGCAATGTAGTCCGGTGTGCCACAAAACGTTGCTGTAGTAATTCCATTGCGAATCCCCTCTTTGCACATGCCAAAATCTGCCAACTTGCAGTGGCCCTCGTGATCCAGCAACACATTATCCAGCTTCAGATCCCTGCAACAACAACAACAATTATTACTGTTATTATTTCAATTGCTGCATAGTGGGAGCTGTACAAATCCAAACGAAGACACAGTCCGTACTCTCCAGAGCTTAAAATAAAACCTGGACAAACATGTATCGCTGGACCCAGCGGCCAACTGCACCATCATCTTTTGAAAAAACAAACGGTGTGCATGAATTTGGCACTTGTGGAAGGGAGGAACTAATAATGTTGGGCTGAGCCAGATTTAATGTGGTCAGGTTTTGTATGAACTTCCCCACGTGGCTTTCCTAAAGCACGACAAGTCTGGCCTGCAGAACACCCTGCTAATTCAGTTTTGAGATGCGTTCGAGCAGAGTGATAGTTCTACATACACAAAGGCCTAAATGTTCTCAGTTGCCCTGATTTCAGTGAGGTTGCACAGTGAGGTTGTATCCAAGAGGAGGATTTGCTGCCAAGAATCCTGTTATTATTTATGATTTCTTATCCCATCCCCACGTTATTGTCAAAATGTCCAGCGGCTGCACCCAATAGAATAGGACCGTAGGAAATATGCACTTTCCAGTTCACCATCTATCGGGATGGAAGCCCGTAGTTTAAGCTAAGTCCAAGAAACAGAGAATCTAGACGATCAAGCAGTGTAGGAAGCTTGTCAGCAGCTTGACCTTGAGATGGCCCCAGAGAATATTCCACAGTCATAAGTGCAGTCAGGAGCATGGCCAGAGAGCACTGGAGCCATCTGCAGACCCAGGCAATGCTTTCCTGAAAATATACTCCAGCTCTTGGCATCTGGCCCCTTCAGCTGTCAGGCTTATCCTGCGCACACTCGCAGATGGGGGGAAGCAACCACTGTCACAGAGCTGCCCCAGTGACGTTAACATCAACAGCAGGACGCCTGTGTACATGATAGGAATGGGCTCTGTTTCCTCTTCCTGGGTCTTGAGGAAAAGATATGTGACTTGGCCTCTCGAACATATTCTGCTTGCCAAGCATTCTGTCAGATACGTCAGTGCCTTCCTGGTGTGGTACAACCCAAACGTTCTGGTCTGGTCCCAGAGCAGACGCACTAGCTCTGAGCTGGACAGACATTCTGGGTATCTAATGTAGGTACTCATATGGCCCCGCATTGCCATGGCATCTGGGCACCTCACAGCACACCAAGGAGTTACAGCAGGGCTATTACCCCATTTTACCCAGGCACACAGAGACTAAGGCACAGGAAGCCTATGTCAGAGAAGGGACTAGAACCCAGGTCCCCGGCTAGCATTCTAACCATTGGGCCACCATTCTTCTCTACTACGGTGCCCTGAAAATGAGAAGGCCAGTTATCCCACTCTGTCTCAGAAGTCCTATAACCAGAACCAACACAGGAAACATCTCTTAAACTAGCGTTGAGACACCACAGAGTTTATTATTATTTCTATTACAGTGGAGCAATTGGCCTCACTGTGCTAGGCAACCGTGTTAGTAAGAGTCAGGTCCTGCCCCAAAGAGCTTACAAATAGACAAGAGAGTGGGAGAAAGGAAAAATAATTATCCCTATTTGGCTGTCGGGGAACTGTGGTGCAGAAAGATTAAGTCACTTGCCCAAGGTCACCAGAGCCAGGAATGAACCCTGATCTCCTGAGTTACACTACAGCGTTTGCTCTGGATGGGATGCAAGCAAGTAGCAGAGTTTTTCTTTTTAAAATGAAAAATGGTCATAAAGCCTTATGGGCCAAAACCAACCCTGGAAGGGATTAGGAGGACACAGAAACATATTACGTGTGTTGGGTCATGACAACCTTGCAGTGTGGTTTAAAGAGTGGTTTACAGTTAGAGTTCCTGGAATTCTGCTATGCGCTACTGGTACATCAGGAAACCTCTCCAAGCATAAAGGCAAGCCCTGTTTTCCAGAAATTTGCAGGAAAGTGGTTAAAACAGCAGATTATTCTTTATATCCAGTAAAATCCTTGTTGGTTCTAGGCAAGACTGGCTTGGGGGCCACTACAAATATGCAGGTGGGCAAGGCATTTTGATGAATAGGTGAATGCCTTGGAGATACCCCAAATAAAATCCAAGTGGTTGTAGATTCACTATTTACTACGTTTCTTGGAAACAGCTTCAATGGAAACTCTTTACTTAGGTTCAGGCAAGATAGATACATGAGAGAGGGAGGGAGAAACCAGGTACAGCCACAGTCCTTGAAGGCTTTAGTCCCTCTCAGAGGCTGTGAGGTTTAAGCAAGCTTCAGGCTTCATAGTGGAGCTGCAACACCGGGGCCTGTTTTGCCTGGAAGCCATGTCTAGCATCTCCACTGCCTCCCATCCAATGAGCTACAGCAGCCCTGGGCTCCCTGTTAACTGGGCAATACAATATGATCCTTAGCGCACCAGTATGAAAGGAGCATTTGCAGGTGCAAGCTCATTGTGCCCCCTAAAGGAATCTCTGTTTGTGTAATTCCCATTAAATTTAAACCAGCTGCTGCCCACTCACGTTCTGGATGCAAGTACAGTTTTAACCACATCAAAGCAAAGCTCCAGCCTGGGGGCTTCTCAGGCTTCCATATCAATCCTGTTAATAACGTCTGTCCCACACTGCAACACAGTGGACATTTGCACCTACTGGCATCTTTTTAAGAGATGTGAAATCTAAAGCTCACATTTTATTATTTCATGTGTCCCAGAATGGGGTATTAATTGAGTGTTGCTTGGTCGCAAGATGCTCCAAGTTTGGCTCCTAATATAGGATATGCCCAAAAGGGTTTATTTCACTCTTCACTAACCCTGTCCGCAGTCAGTGGTTTTCTCAAGTGATGTCAATGGTATTAATCTGTATACTTGCTGCTTTGCATTCACTGGTCCTACTGTTCTTTATGCCAAATGAACCAATGAGGTCAAATTAAAAAAAACAGGATTCTAAAGATTTACAAGGCGCTCTTCAGTTCAGCAGCAAGAACTCCAAGAAGCTGATGAAATTGGAAAGTAGCCCACTCACAAAGTCAGATTTACCTCAGATTCCCTTAACGCTTGCATTTTCCAGTCAACATTTTTAGTAGTGTCATGCAGCAATAAAGGGAGGGATATTTTCGAAGGTCATTATGCAGTTGTTATGCTGTTATTCTGAGGTCATGCAGTACTGATGCAATCATTTTGCAGGCAAACTCCTACTGGAATAAGGACTTTATGCATACGAAGGAATGAAGCACTTGTCTCTACATGTAGTTACAGTGTGTCAGTTTAACGCATCCTTTTATTTTAGGCATGGAAGAAGTGACAAAAAGGGAGCTGTTCTAGCCTCTTGTATCAGAACACGTGCATTTGCTATGTTGGCAGTTGTGACGGGGCAAGGCCAGATGTCTATAGAAAAGTAGTGGGAGATAGATATATTAGCTCCAGGCTAAACAAATCCCTGGTACCAGGATAAGTGAAATGGCAGCTGCTCCAGGTCAATTAAGACACCTATGACCAATTAAGAACTTTCCAGAAGGCAGGGAGAATGCTAGGTTGATTGGGACACTTGAAGCCAATCAGGGGCTGGCTGAAACTAGTTAAAAGCCTCCCAGTCAGTCAGGTGAGTGTGCATGTCAGGAGCTGTGGGAGGAAGTTGTGCTGTTGGAGAGACTGATAGTACACACCATATCAGGCACAAGGAAGGAGGCCCTGAGGTAAGGGTGAAGTGGAGCTTGAGGAAGTGCGGGCTGCTGTGGGGGAAGTAGCCCAGGGAATTGTACATGTCATGTTTCTAAAAGGTCAGCTACCATAGCTGATACTATTAGGGTCCCTGGGCCGGAGCCTGGAGTAGAGGGTGGGCCTGGGCCCTCCCCCCTTTGCCCCCTGATTAATCACTGAGACTGGGAGACAACAGAGACCGTCCAAGGAAGGATAACTTCTCCTCACCTCCCTTGCTGGCTTATGATGAAAATGGCTCAGTAGACTGTGACCCTTGTCTCTAGAGAGAGAAGGGTTACGTGGAGGGTCACAGTGAGGCTAGCGAAATCCGCCAGGAAATGCAGGACCCACGAAGGCAAGGACAGAGCTTTGTCACACAGTTTAAAGATCAAAATTTTTCCAGAAAAAATGTACAACTTGCCTGGTTCCCTCTGCAATATTTGCACATTTTGGCTTCCTCTGCACTATTGGGAATTTTGCCATGGTGCACATAGTGTCCAGAATAGCCTTTGGAGTTGATCCTGCTGAAATGTATCTTAAAAGGGCTTTCAGTTCATCACCTAAATCACTCGCATCAATATCTCGCATGTCATCATGCGTCAACACTGTCTCTAGTGCCCTGTATTGCTGGTGTAGGTCTTCTTCAGGTATAGTGAGGAGTTTTGGAATATCATACAACATCCCAAATATACTGCTGTGTTCCTTGAGCTGCATGAAATGTTCTTCAATTGTCTGTATTTAACAATCTAGCACCTCGTTAAAAATTCAACTTTGAATTGTTGTTTGGGGTCTCTTATGGGATTATGCTATGCCTCGTAAACAAAATGTCGTCTTCTTTGGTGACTCTTGTATTCTTGAATGGGTGGGAAAATAGCTTCAGTGTGAAGTTCCTCTGCTAAATTCTGAGCACTCTTCAGAACGTTTTGAAATCCCTCATCTGACCCGTAAGACTGTAGGGATGACTTTGGTTTGTCCAGTTGTTCCATTGCTCCAGATATATCAAGGTCAACACCTTGGAGTCTCTTGCTTACAACACTTATTTCAAACAGCATGTCATGTCTCAACACTAAGCCACACAGAAATTTGAAGTTATGTAAATTTCTGGTGATTCCATTTCCCTCTGCCACTGTTCTCCCACGAACAGTTCCTGTCATAGCATTATCCTCCATAATGGCAACTATGGCATCATCTATCTTCCCAATTTGGTGTTTGATGAGCTTTATCGCCTCCACTTGACTTTCCCATCGTGTGGCACTCGGTGGTTTCAGTGTCAGAGAGGATGTTCCCAGATGTTGCGGAGAAGAATACATAGATGCTTTGAATTACATTAAAAAATTCAGTAGCCTCACTAGAAACTGATG